TACGACGACCATCTAATTTGTGGAGGTCGTCATACGTCTCAACCCAATTCACCTGACGGCGACCATCTATCCAATGGAGGTGGTCATGATCCCATGGACTCTGCGGAATAGGTTGGTGGAAGCCGAATTGCCTCAGCACTCTATCCGCAAATTGGATCTCAACAAAAGCAAAATTAATCAATGGTGTAACAGCACACCAATATTGACACTCATCAAAAACATCGTGCGGTACACATGCCATAATTTATGCATCTTCGTATGATCTCCAATTAAACAGTAAAATTAAAATAACAATAAAATTGATTTAAATCAAATAATATAGTTAAATTAAATAATAATTAATAATAACATATTATATATACCTCTTTTTTGCCCTTAATGTCGATCTTCAGCCTAAACTCTTTAATATTATTGTGCACCAACCTCGTGCCTTCTATTTTATGCCTCTATCTGTATATCAATCAAAACAAAAATATAGCCATTTTGTTCAATATTTGTAATCAAAATAAATAATTTGTAATTAATATTTTATATTAAAATAGAGAATTCATATTACCTTCCGGCAAGTGGAAAGTCAACCACAGTCCGACTAATCGATGTCAAAAACGGAAGTCTATGCCAAGCCCATGATTGTAGTAGCATCAAACATCAACCGCAGTCCAAGTTGCATTGCCACATCCTCTAGAGTTATCGTACATTTTTCACACACAAAATGAAATGTGGCGTTTCTGGTCTCCAACGTTCAATCAAAGCACTGATCAAACCTGGGACCAATTTGTATTCTCGCACAAATGTTACATAGTAAAATCCAGCATGTTGCAAGTTTTCTTCTATCAATTGGTGTAGCTTGGCCGGAATATTTAGCCGATGACGAAGGACTCACTGCTCATCCTCCTGCAATTTGAATAATTCAAAAAATTTATCACCATCATAAAATAATCTTCAAATATTTAATAATAATGATTCATTAAACAAATATTTTCTTTTATTAAATAATAATAACACCATTATTCCCAAATGAGTAGAAATATGTTGATTGTCAAGTCTCATCAGTGGATTTTGGTCAGCCATTCGAATGAATCTGTAAAAAAAATTAAACAACAATATTTAAAAAATCATTTATTATAATCTAATATAAACTAACTAATTAACTAATTTACAAAATAATAAAATATTTTTATATAATAACTTATAATATAATAAACTAATAAACTAACAAACTAAATTTCTTGATAAATACTTACATAAACATCTGTCTCGTCGAATTTATTATTTTCAAATTGAAAAAATATAATGAAATTAAATCCACCAAACTGGTAAAGAAAATATGAACCATTTCATGAAAAGTGTATTTTATATTTAAAATAAAGTATTATTTTATATATATGCTTACACATATAAGAAGCGTAAATATTTCAAATAATTCTTTGGGAGGGACCAAAGAATTGCATATGTGAACAATGTTTCTCCTTATATTACATGGAATTTTATTATTTTTAGGTAAACAAACTATTATTAAATTATTCAAATTACATGGAATTGTAGTTATGGAAGTTTTTGGTTGATGATAAAGCACTTTGTAGAGGAAAAATGATCATTGAAAATCAAAACTGAAAACAACAGTATGTTAAAAAAATACAAAACGTCATGCACACTACATCACGCATTACCTAATTCTAACCCCACCATAATAATATAATAAATTAACGTGTTAGCAAAATCGAAAGAGGAGGAACTTGCACGGCCTACATGGCGACATGAATAGGTCGTTTGGACCACCTGGCGACCTACAAGATTACTGTAGCAGTCACCACATTTCAGCAATTAATTCTTCGAGAGCAATATCCAGTGAATTTTTTATTTTCAATGTATTATTACGTGAGTTTTGCCCCTTTGATAACGTAGTCAAAGTATTTTTAAGTTAAAAAAATTATTTCAACCTCAAAAATAAAACTAAACGGATAAAAATTTAAAAGAAGATGATATAAAAACAATAGTTTCAAATCAAACGTAAAAGTTGAGATTTTTAATATTTTTATTTCTAATTTTACGTTTAGAAACAAATTTATGTTTTTACTCTTACTAATGCAATGTCTCCAACAATTTATTTAGTAAAGAACTCTAAAATTTTAATTTTTTTTATTAATTATGTGTTTACATTTTATTTTAATAATTTAATACCGACATCTTTTAAAAATAATTTATTAATTAATAATTTTTTCTGATTATTTAAAAGGAAATAAAATTTACGATTTATATATTAAAATATTAATGGTGAATTATTATAAAATATATTTTTATTATAATTTAAATTGATATATTTAATGTTTCATAATATTTTTAAATTTATTTATTATATACATATATATTATTTTTGAATGATTAAAAAGATAAATATATTATTTAAATTATTTTATTTAAAATTTTAAATGAGTGACTATGGTTGAGTTTAAAATATTATTTTAAAATTCAAATGTTAAAAAATATTGACAATATGTTTTTTCTTAATGAAATATTTCATATAAAAATATTTTAATGAGTTATTTTAATTGTTTTTAATTTTTATTATAGTTTAAGTTGATATATTTTATATATCATAGTATTAATAAAGGTAAATATAATTTAAATGTTATATTTTTAATTCACAACATGAACATTTTATCTCTTAAAAATCAATTTTCAAAAGCATCCCCAAACAATTAAATTTTAAATTGCTTTTGTCAAAAACATTTTTAAAAGTTTTTTTTCTACAACACTTTTAAGAGTCACTTTTAAATATTTTTTTTCTACATAATGTTGAGTTGGAGTTATTTTTTTTTGAAATTTTTTATTTTTTATATAATTCATATATTTTTGATTAATGATGTAATTTTATATTTTTAATATTTTATAATTCTATATCCTTAATTTTTTAATATAACTTTTTAAATCTATACCTTTTAATATAAATTTTTTGTCATTTCCTGCTTGGAACTAAGTAATATAAAGAATAATTAAATATATAGAAAATAAAAATTTATGTAAATTCAGCATGGTATAAATTTGAACGAGACCAAAATATGGTAGAACTTTAAATAAATCTTAACTAATTATCCACAAGATCTAAAGATCTAAACCTTTGTTAACTAAATTAAAACATTAATGATTCTATATAATAGATTTCTTTAGCTTTTTTTCCTTCTCGTTTTTACTCTTTAATTGTATAAGAGAATAACATCGTTAATCTTTAATTAAAAGATTATTATTTATATTTTATCTTAAATTTTATTATATTTTTCTTTTTATATATATATTTAAGTTTTATGCTAATTTATTTAATAAATCTTTCATTAAAAAAAATGATGGAGGCATTTTTTTCTTGCTCTTGTAGGATGTTTTTATTTTTTAGATGAATTAACATTGTCTTTTTAGGTGGTGTTTATTTAATTATTTTATTGTTCTATATTCGATTCGGATCCTTAAACTAATTCTTATATTATAGGCGTTAGAAATCATCCTTAAATAGGTTATATTTTAGATGTGATAAAGTTGGTTATCAACACGTCACTATCATTATATTGTTAGGTGTTTTCACGAATAAAATTATTTTAACGGTTAAAGGGATGATTGTTATTTCTAGTGATTTTCATGTTTGAACATCAACATCTAAAAACAGTGGTATTTAAGCGTGTTCTTTACCAAATTGTCATAATGTCCCAAAAATCGAGGAATTGGTTTTAAGGGGTTCGTTTCAATTAAAAATAAAAATGTGGTTCAAGGGAACTGCCACCAATATTTATTCAGGGTGTGATTAGATCGCTGAAAAATATTTTGTTATTTTAATAAAATCTTAATTTTAAAATTTATTAAAATAATCTTTTGGTATGATTTTCTAAAAATGAGTTCGGGAGTTGATTACGTGCAGGGAAGGGTTAATACCCCTACAACGTCCAAAAATATGTATCTATTCGATTAATTATTGTCTTTGCAATTAAACTTATGAATTCATACTTAATTTAATTAGTGACCCCCTATTTAGTTAAATAAATATCATGATATTTAAAATCCAAGAGAAAAGATTAACGATTTGAACATTTAACCGGGTAAAGTTAACTATCATATATGAGGAAGAGTGACATCTCTTTCATTTCCAATTAAATAGATCAATCACTAATATATTCATCGAAAAATTTAATTGACATTCCATCGTTTTGAACCGAAATAAAATCACCACCTAATATAAGGTAGAATGACATTTCCCTAGAAGAAAACAAGGAATACCTCATTCATGTTATTTATTTACCTAAAGTTGTACAACAAGCAAAATTTTTATTAATAGGGTGGTACTTTAAGATAGATAAAAGATGTTCACATATTTAGAAGTATCGAACCTAAACCACTGAATAGAGTCGAGAGGTTCATTTTCGATAAGTCTAAATATGAGAACATTTCCTTTTATACCCTCTTGATTGATTTTAAGTGTTATGATTTTTATTTGTTTCACTAGAGGGTACCGTTTACTTTAAATTGTCGAATTGAGCTATTCAAGTAGATTAGGATAATCCACTTTGACAATTTAAATTATGCGCATATTGCCTTTTAGTATATTATTGGAAAAAGTTTACGTAATGTGGATGAGGCTATCATGCTCGAAAGATAGAAAAATGTTATGCAATCAATAAAATAAAGCCAAAACAGTTAAGCGTACAAACTGAAAAGTTAAATAAAAAAACCTTTGAAAATAAATAAATAGAGGGAATAAAGGGTGAATCCTTAATCGAGAGAAACCTGAAAATAAAGATAGTATGCATTAGTAAAAATAAAACATAAATTAAATGTCTAAAATTAAAATAAATGATAAAAAAGAATGACCAAATTGAAATAAAATACCATAACCGGATATAAAGAAAAAAATAAAAAGAACAAAGTCAATTAACGGAAAAGATAGAGGGGCCGAGGACAGGATTTCCCCGAACCTTCTGGCAGGCACAGATCGGATGAAATGACGCCATTTAGTGTTCATGCAACCTTTCCAAAACTACGACGTTTTGGAAGCATTTAAATGCCTTTTTCTAAGCCTGCTCTTCTTATTTTGCTCTCTTGGCCCTTTCTCTAGCCTTCTCTCTAAAAAGGTGGAGAACCACCTCCAACCGCTGCTCCCCGTCGCTGATCTCCGTCATTCGCCGGTCGCCGTCAGCGAACACCATAACTCACCACAACGCTCGCTTCACTGCGAGGAGTTCGGATCTGGGGTCCGTTTCTCCAAAGGGTGTCGCGTTTGCCACAAAAATGCCGAAAACCGTTTAGCTCCTCTCATCGCCTATCTCATGGCTTCGCCGTTAGATCGCTTTGATTTTCAAGTATGTTGTTCGTTGTCCTCTCGTTTGACCGTTCGGATCGGTCGAAGGAGGTATCGATTGTCAATAAAGTCACCGGCTGAAAGGTATAGGACACTTTTATCTTTTTCACTTGTTTCGGTTAACTCCCTTTCTCACCACTCTCTCTTTTACGGGTGGTCAACCATCATTATAGCCATTGGAGAAGAATATAAAAAAATGAGACAAGTGAAGTAAAAAAAAGAATATTTATTTATTTCACTGTTTCGAAGTACATGCAAGGTTCCCCTCTCTGATTTTTTTAGTTCGCCCCCTCTTTTTGGTTCTGTTTTTTTAACTCTATATACATGAAAACATTCCCCTTTTACATTGAAATTTAGGATTTGCATATTCCATTGTGATTTGATTCGAATATCCCTTGAAATCGTGTTTCCTCTTTTGTTAAAAATAGGACTTTCTTGCCAAGATGATCGAGAGAACATAGGGGCGAGGGGGTCCTTCATCAACGCGTGGGCACGTGAAGTTGGCTGTCGGGCGTGTTGGAGTTGGCGCGTATCGTTGACGCGCGTGCAAGCTGGAGACACCTTGGAGCTGTTGGAGGCGGCTGAAATGTTTGTCCCCTAGGATTTCCCTTTGCTGTTTTGCATTTTGGGCTTTCGGGCTTGCTTGTAAAATGGGTTGTATTGGGACTGTTTGTATTTGGGTGCTTAGGTAGGGTTGAAGGATGTAATGGGCCGTAAAATGAAACAAATATGGATCAATAAACCCATTAATTACCATGGTTTAATAATAGATAATAAGTACTACTAATTATAATAAATAATATAATAATAAAATAAGACAAAAATATTAGTAATAGTAATAAATAATAATATAATATGAATAGGAAGAAACAAGTTCAGGAAGAAAATGAGTGTATACACAAATGATTTAGAATCTTTAGAATAGATGATATCTTTTAATTACCTCGGTTTTATTAAAAAAAAAGTGGTGTGTGTTTTTATCTTTTAATTTTTTAAGTTGTTTGATTAATTTTTTAAATTATTTTCATTTATATTTATATTATTTAATGAATAATTTGCTCTGTTTAATAAGTTTATAAAAAATATTTTGCTAATGTGATTACCCTATTTAATTTTTATAAAATTTTTAAATTTGTATTTTTAATATGTTTTATTATTATTTTCATAAAATTAATTTTCTATTCTCTATAAAAATTAAAACATTAATGGCCTGGATTTTCGTATACAAATTAATGTTTTGGATTATTTCATTAGTTGAGCAGTTCAAAAAAAATAATGGCAAACGAGCCTTTCTGTATTCATTTCAAGCCAATATTATTATATTACCAAAAAAAAGTGAAAATAAAGGCCAACAGAGAACCCAGAGGCCAGAACGCAAATAAACAAGAAATCAATAACCATTCTCATGACAATTACATAGATTTGTAAAATTTAAGGGTGAAAATGAAACAGGAATCTACACAACTACGAATTAGTTCATGTTTGGTGTGACTGCATGTGTTAACCATGACTTTCTGTCTTTTTTTTATTTTGGGGATAAAGACTTTCTCTATCTTTTCATTCATATAAAACTTGACAATAAACATAACATTATAGTATAAAAAATATATCATAGATTAGCGGTCATTGATCGAATTAAACAACTATGTTTAAAATTTATTTTTTGTGTGGAAAGGTTAGAATAAAGATACCAAGGGTGCTCGAGTAAACTGGTCGTTCATTTGCTCACCAAAATCTTAAGGTGGTTAACCATTAAAAAGACATTGGGTGCTGGACCCAAGCTTGTTTGCTGAAGTTGATCAAAAGGTTGTTGACGAAAGAGGGATCTGTTTGGATTGATTCTTACGTGATTAAGAGATTGGTGATGGAGTCTCTTTGTAATAGTTTGACCATTGCTGCTATAATGCAAACTCTTGTACAAGAATTTGGTCTCGCCATGCACTCAAATCACAAATTGCGTCTCTGAAGCTCAACCCTATTTGTTGCTGATGCAAATCTCATCTTCCTGCCACCGCTCTACTGGTTCACAAAAATGGGGTTCTTCTGCTGAGATCAGATTATACATCCGCATTCGACAGTTACACCCTAGTAGCTTTACTTGGATCGAATCATTTTTCTTGTTTTTATATGCATTCCGTCTACCCTTTTGAATCGATTTAATTGTGTTCAAATTCCATCTGAATGCATCTGATAAAATCCTTCGACTACGAGACTTTTGTCCAAAATTAAAAGAACAAAAGCAATTCTACCAAAAGAGTATATTTATTGATTCGAAGGTTTATCATTCAGATTACTCTATTTATCTTTGGAAATCAACAAACTTGAGTATAACGGTGGTTTCACGCTTGGGATAACACCTCAAGTGAGGTGGAAGAGAAGTACAAGCAATCCCACATCGGTGGAATATGTATAGTTTTTTCTGTTTAAATTTAAAATAAAGGAACTTCAACATTTTCGAGCTGTGTAACGCCTGCTTGTGGCCCAAGTGGGGTCATTAAGATGATTGGAGTTTAATACATTCTTTGGAGTCGGGTCCATGGTAGCTATGCTCTGGCCTGCCTGTTCAGAGCGAGGAGTTTGCTTTGGGTCACGTGCGAAGGCATGGGTCTTGTGGCTCCTAGAGAGGAAAAACACACCGCGCGAGGCCTGGTTTCACAGAGCGGCGTTAAGTTCCCTCTTATTGCAGTGGGAAGATAACAGGCCATGTTATCCTGGATCTAGTGTGGCTTTGCGGTTCGTTCCAAATTGGACAATCACTTTTTCAGTTTGTTTTATTTGATTATTAGTTGGATTGTGTAATTCATAGACTTTTTTACTCTTGAATAACAATTTTAATTTGATAAAAAAATAGAAGATAGTTTTATTACTTTATCCTATTCTGGATGATTTCAGATTACGTTGTACCACCCTCCCAGTTATTCCAACACTTTGTACTGTACTATTATTCTTAAATTAGTGTCCAAACTTTTTTTAATCATCTAAGAGTCTAATTTATAGGAAGACTTGAATCCCGTGGATTTTAACCCGATTCGCTCGAGTCAAAAATTTTTGAAAAAATTTCTGGTTAAGGTTGGGTCGAGTTTTTTAGAGTAGAAATTTCTGGTTAAGGTTGGGTCGAGTTTTTTGAAATAATATAATTTTTTCTTATATATTTAGGGATAATTACAAGAATACCTTTCTTTATATTATTTTTCAATTAGATCCTTATTTCATTGAATAAAGTTAATAACTTTTATAAATATATTTATTTTGGGTCGGGTTTTATATAAAAAAACTCAGGTCGGGTTTGTGTGGAGGTCTATTTTTTGGGTCGGGTTGGTCGAAAATCCGACCCGTCTCATGCGCATCCCTACTAATGTTACACACGTTACTACTTTGATGCTCGGACCGTAATTGCTATTAAATTTCTTTGTTAAGTAATACATGTTACGTTTTGGTAATTTTGAATTTTTTTTAAAAAAAAATTGTTGAGTTAATCGATCGACGAATCGGCCAAGAGGGGGTGAATTGGCAATAAAAATTTTTGGTGGAAGCTTTTGTAGAAAATTGAAAATAATTGCACAACAATTTAGAGTAGTTCGACTTTCTCAACCAAAGTCTACGTCCACTACCTTAGCTATCAACACTAAGGATTTTCCAACAAATTCACTAATTTGTTCTTTCTTTTGAGGGCAAAGAGTAACCCTACAACTCCCTCTAGAATTATACCCCAAATTCTTGAGAACACTCTCTCCTAAAAAGAAGAATACAAATTTCGCAAACTTACAAGAAAAATCTCACTAGGCAAAATGTTTGCACAATTCTAGAACAAAGAAAGAACACTCAAAGATAAATACAATAGAGCACAAATGGTGTTCTTGAAAGCAAAATGAATATTGAATGAAAAATAGGTTTGAAATGCTCAAACTTGAGATTTGATGTTTTCTCTTTGATTCTCTCTTTTCTCTTCTTTATTCTTGTTGATCAATGACTCCTAAGCTTGTTTAAATACTCCTTGGATCACTTCTGAACGTTGGGGATTATTAGTAAAGTCAATAGAGTCGTTATTGTGTGAAAACAATTAAATAAAATAGTTGGGAGCGTGTGTGCATCGGTGCACTAACAGAGTGCATCGATACACTATGTATAAAATTCAAATATTTCGATCGTTATAAGACTTAGTGCATCGGTACACTAGGGGTGCATCGGTACACTAATTACATTCAATGTTTCAAACAAGCCTGGAGTGCATCGATGCATGGTTTGTGCATCGGTACACAAAATGCATTTGATGTTTCAAAATATTCAAGAGTGCATCGATGCATGGCTTGTGTATCGGTACATAAAATGCATTCGAAATGGGTGTGCATCGATGCATAAAATGAGTGCATCGGTACTTCCCTTCATAAAATTGATTTTTGGCTCATTTTTGGTTTGAAATACTTTGTAAAAATTGTTTCAAAAATATTTTAAGTTTAAAGCACAATTTTACTCTTTAGTAAGGATTGAAATTGATCTTTGAAAAACTTGGAGTAATATTTTGATATTCGAATAATTGAATCGAATATACTTTGAAAAAGATTTGTAAAATCTTAAAATTCAATAATACTTAATTTGTTATATCGAAACATCAAAATGTTTTCAACAATATCCCCCTTTTTGATATAAAAAAATATTTGAGTAATTTTAAGATTTTATTTGAAAGTAATTTTTGAAATCAATTTTGTAAAAATTACTCCCCCTTACTCTATTATCCCCTTTTTGTTAAATTAAAAAGACTCTATAAAACGTTTTTAAACAAGACCTTGACAATTTAGCCAATTGATTTAAATTTAAATTTTAAGATGCTAAGATCACAATCAAGAGAAAGGTCAGTCATTAGTTTCATAAATCAATATTCATAAATAATGTGTAATGGCAAATTGGTCATATTCTAATTGATACAAAAATTAATAAACAATAAGTTCAAATTAAAAATTCAACCAAACCAAATATATAAATATAAGTATTTAAGTTCAAACATCCAAACATCCAAAACAAATTCAAACGTCCAAAATAAAACAATCCAAAAGCATTCAAAATGTTTTAACAATGAGTCTTTAGTTCGATCCAAGAAAACTAAAGCAAGGCAAGGTCTAATCATCCAAGGGAGGATCGGGAGGAGGAGGATAATGTGCTCGCATCTCGAGTGTGAGTGCTTCGAAACGTTCGCGCATCTCCCATTGAAATTCCAATTGTTGAGCCCCCATAGCGGTTAAATGAGACTCTATGGATGCAAGCCTCAGATCAAATGACTCCAAAAATGATCGAAAATATGGAGGCACTTAATACTCTTGCTGTGCCGGCTCATTCTCGGGTACTTCGTCATCAATATCTTGCATAAGTTGTTGAAGCTCTGGATCATCGTCATCTGCCGGTGCTGGTGGAGGCGGAGCTCGTGAAGAACTAGCTCCCGATGTTTGCTCAGTGGATCGAACCCATTGATCACATTCCTTTTTCCATCCCGATTTCTTTAAGGAAGTGAGATTGATTTGGTTCTGGAGAGGGATGAGAATATCAAGCAAAACCCTAAGCCCGAGTTTGATAAACAAATTACTGATGAGACAGCCGTAAACTAAAGTTTTTGTATTCTTAGATGGGACAGTGTTTCCGGTATCTACCAACTCACTAAAAATGATCTGTGGAAAATTTATTTTCTTGTTATGTTGGATACAATGTATCCACCATAAATCTATGACCCTAAGAGAGGAGTACCTACCTTCGG